TTGTGATATCTGTAGGTTTCATGCTTGTAGTGGTGTCTCTGGTACTTTGTGGTCCTTGCAACATTTCACTCACAGAGTCCCCCTTAGGATCTCTTGCATGGATGGTTTAGTGGTGATGAATTCCTTCAGTTTTTGTTTGTTTGGGAAAATCTTTATTTCTCCTTCTATTCTGAATAACAGATTTGCTGGGTAAAGGATTCTTGGCTGCATATTTTTTTCTGTTCATTACATTGAAGATTTCCTGCCATTCCTTTCTGGCCTGCCAAGTTTCAGTAGATAGGTCTGCTACTACTCTTATGTATCTACCTATGCAAGTTAGGGCCTATTTATCCCTACCTGCTTTCAGAATTCTCTCTTTATCCTTATATTTTGCCAGTTTCACTATATGTTGTGCAGAAGATTGATTCAAGTTATGTCTGAAGGGAGTTCTCTGTGCCTCTTGGATTTTAATGCTTGTTTCCTTCCCCAAATTGGGGAAGCTCTCAGCTATAATTTGTTCAAGTACACCTTCAGCCCCTTTCTCTCTTCTTCTTCTTCTTCTTCTTCTTCTTCTTCTTCTTCTTCTTCTTCCGGAATTCCTATGATATGGATATTTTTCCATTGATTGCATCACTTAGTTCTCTAATTCTCCCCTTGTATTCCTGGATTTTTCTATCTCTCTTTTTCTCAGCTTCCTCTTTTTCCATAATTTTATCTTCTAATTCAGCTATTCTCCCTCTGCCTCTTCAATCCATGCTGTGGCTGTCTCCATTTTATTTTGCATTTCATTTATAGCATTTATAAATTCATAGGACTATTTTTTAGTCCCTTGATCTTTGTAGCAATAGATTCTCTGCTGTCCTCTATGCTTTTTTCAAGCCCAGCAATTAATTTTTATGACTACTATTCTAAATTCTTGTTCAGTTCTATTGCTTAAATAGGTTTTGATCAATTCATTAGCTGTCGCTACTTCCTGGAATTTCTTTTGAGGAAAACCCTTCCATTTTGTCATTTTTGGCTAGTTTTCTGTCCCTTATGCATTTTAAAAGCTTGTTGTGTGCTCTGCACCTGTGAGCACTGCTACATTAAAGGATGGTCATACACTGTCCAGTGCCTGGCCCTTCAGGAGGTGTTTTTTTGGAGATTGTTACTTGCTCTCTGTTGTTGTGACTTTGGTTATTTTATTACCCTACTCATAGTGATATTTTTGACCTTCCACCAGGTGTGCTTTGATTTGTTCCTTGGAGTAGCCTTGTAAAGGAAAAGATAGACAAACAGGAGACAAAAACATGCAAACACACAAACAAATAACACAAACAAACAAATAAACAAAAACAAAGACCTAAAGACTAAAACCAAAAAACCCCAAAACACTGACTACAAGTAAAGAAGAGGGTGGAGGCGGTGCTGATGGAACAGCGCATACACAGAGAGAAATTACAGGAGAGGGAACGGGGGTGGGGGTGGGGTGGGGGGTGGGGGAGAAGAAAAAATAAACATTGACTAGGCAGAGGCTAGTCCAGAGGCTTAATCCAGAGAGAAAGGAAAATAAAGAAGGAGGCAGGGACAATGAAATGAAGATAAAGTTACCCAGACAGAGAAACTACATGACTTGACTATTCCAGAGAGAGAGAAAGCAGTGTAAAGGAGGAAGTGTACAACGTGTATCAGGATAATGGATTAAATATGTATGTTTAGATAGACCAATAACCAGAGTAACCAGCCTAGGGTAGGGAAGAGATAAGGAAGAGAAATGACGAGGGGGAGGAGAATATATCTATATATCCAGAATTGACCTAGAGTTAATCCAGGCAATGCTGCATCGCTTGTCAGGAGGAGCTTTCCATAGGGTCTGTGCCGCTCAGGTGGATACGAAGTTACCCAGTGTGAAGGGGCATGGTTTGGTGTAGTCTGGACCCACCTCCACTATGGGCCCTGGGAGTGATCCCTGAGGCCCAGCCTTGGTGATGGTGTGGGGAGGGGTCAGGGAATGGTGATCCCCTAGTCTCTTCTCCACGGAGCTGGACCTGGTGTACTCTGTTTGAGTCGTCCTCACGGTGCCACAGGCCAGACGGGGCTGTTCTTCTCATTCTGCCAATCCCCTGACCCTTTGCTTAGGATTCAAAGTCCCACTCTGTGTGCTCTGGCTCTGGGGAAGTGCCTCTCAGTGTGGCCAATATGTGGTCCTGGCTGGCTTTGTCTGTGCTGCCACACTTCAGGGAGGACCGCCTTCTCCTATGCAGACTGAGAGCCGCTGCCCTCTCTGCGAGCCCCCTGGGGTGGCGGAAGCAGGCAGACTTTGTACTATCAGGTAGCCCTCCAGGGAGGGAACCACTTTCTCCAACTGCGGACTGAGCCCCTGACCTACCACGGCACCCAAGCCCCTGGCTCCCCTCCTCCCCACGTGCACGAACAGGGAGCTGGCTCCAGTCCAAAGAAAGCCCTGCAATTAGAGATTGGATCCCTCTCAGTCTTAGTCCAAGGTCTTTCTCCTGTCCAGATTTGGTCCCACACTCTCCTAGCCACTCTTTCTCTTCTCTTTGTCTCTCCGCAGAAGGGGTCCCTCCCCTCCATGCCCATGCGGCCTTTTTTTTTTTTTAATCTCTCCCAGTTCGCAGTTACCCACCTATCTTTTTTCCAGCTTTCCCATTTTCTTCCTAGCAGATTCAGTCTCTTTTCCTCCCAGGCTCTAGTGTTCAAAGTCCTTTGGCTTCTGCACTTCTTTGTTTGAGAAACACGGGAAGTAAGGACCCCCTACTCATCCGCCATGTTGGCCCCTCCCCTCTTTTATATTTATTTTTGAAAGAGAGAGAGAGAGACAGAGAAATAGAGTGTGAGCCGGGGAAAAGCAGAGAGAGGGAGACACAGAATTGGAAGCAGGCTCCAGGCTCTAAGCTGTCAGCACAGAGCCTGACACAGGGCTTGAACCCATAAACTGGGAGATCATGACCTGAACCGAAGTTGGAGGCTTAACCGACTGAGCCACCCAGGCACCCCTTATGTTATTTTAAAGCAGAGGGAACCACTATCTTGCTGGTTATTCCCAAGTAACTCATTCTTCAAAATCCAACTCAAAGAAAAGATGTATGTACCGGAATGTTCCTTATAGTATTATCTACCATAATAGAAAGTTGGAAATCAACCTAAATATCCTACAGTAAAGGACTAATTAAATAACAGATAGTAATTTCTTATTATAGAATATTATGTAGCCATTTTGTTATTTTTGATAGCTAATGACATGGGGAAATGCTTATGATATAATGTTGATTGAAAAGAACGAACAACAAAACTATGCATACAATATGAACTCAATTCATACGCATACACACAAAGAAAGTACTGCAGAATGTTAACAGTAGTTTTCATTGATGGTGGGATATTAAGGGATTTAAATTTAAAAAAAAATTTTTAAATGTTTATTTTTGAGGGAGAGAGACAGTGTGAGTGGGGGAGGAGCAGAGAGAGAGGAGACACAGAATTCAAAGCAGGCTCCAGGCTCCGAGCTGTCAGGACAGAGCCCATTGTGAGGCTTGAACTCACAAACTGTGAGATCATGACCTTAGCCAAAGTTGGCCGCTCAACTGACTGAGCCACCCACGTACCCCCACCAATTTTAAACTTTTTTAGAGACTTTTCTACACTGAAAAAAATCTCTACAATGAATTTGTTACCTTCATAATTAAAAGAAAGCCAATAAATGATAATATAACTTTACAAGATCCATCTCAAATGTTTCCTCTCTGAGGCCTTCACCAACAAGTGTTCCTTGTTCCTCCTTCATATTCACATAACACTCAGTATATATCACCCCTAACCATTCTCTACTCTGAACTAGAATGATCTTCCTAAAAAGTAAATATTGCAACCCTGCCGTTCTACTTTTAGGTATTTACCTAAGAGAAATGAAAACATATATCCATTCAAAACCTTATACAGAAGTGTTCATAGCAGCATTATTCATAATAGCCCCAAAGTGGACACAACCCAAATATTCATCAAATGATGAACAGATAAATAAACTATGTACTTGTTATAGGTGGTAGGCAAACCACTGTATATCTACATCTAAAACCCCAGAATCTGTGAATATGTTAAATTACAAGGCAAAGGAGAATTAAAGTAGCAGGTAAAGTTCGCTAATCAGCTGACCTTAGAATAGGGAGGTTGTTCTGGATTATTCATGGGGCCCCAATGTAATCACAAGGGTTCCTAATGGTGGAAGAGGAAGGCAGAACATTGGAGTTATGTAACGTGAGAGGACTTAGCCTGTTGTTGTTGGTTTTGAAGATGGAGGAAGGGACCATCAGGCAAGAAATGTGGGCAACCACTAGAGGTTGAAAAAGGTACAGAAATAGATTCTCCACTAGAGCTTCCAGAAAGGAGTGCTTCCCTGACAACACCTTGATTTTAGCCCAGCAACACTAATACTAGACTTCTGACCTATAGAACTGTAAGATAATAAATTCGCATTATTTTAAGTCACTAAGTTTGCATTAAATTGTTATAGTGATAGAAAACTAAAACAAATGGAATGTTACTCACAATAAAAAGGAACGAATACTCATACATGCTATAATATGGATAAACTTTGACAACATTAAACTAAATGAATGAATACAGTCACAGATGCCTACATCTTGCGTGATTCCCTTTATTTAAAAAAAAAAAATTTTTTTTTCAATCATGATTCCATTTATATGGCAAATCTATAGGCACGGAATGACTGGTGGTTGCCTACAACTGAGTACAGTTTCTTTTTGAAGTGGTGAAATCTCCTAAAACTGATTATTATCTTAGGAGCACAACTCAGTGAATATACTAAAAATCATATGATATGTGAATTATATCTCAATAAAACACATATACACATATATGTGTATGAATACGTGTGTGTGTGTAGGCATGTGTGTGTGTGTGCGTGCACACACACATATTCTCTGCAGGAACACCTTCGATGGTTTTGCTGCCCTAAAAACTAAAATCTATTAAAAACAATTTTTTTTTTAATTGAAAGCAGCCTCAGGGACCTGTGGGACAACAAAAGATCTAAAGTTCCTGTTAGAGCCTCTGAAGAGGAGGAGAAAGTGTGGAGCTGAAAAAGTACTCAAAGAAGTTATGGCTGAAAACTTCTCAAACTGGGTAAGATATAAACCTACAGATTCAAGAAGCTGAGTAAAACCCATATGAGATAAACCCAAAGAAATCTACACCAAGATATATCATAGTCAAATATCTGAAGACTATAGACAAAGAAAGAAAAAAAAAACACAAGCAGAAAGAGAAACAATACTTTATCAATAAAGAAATAACAGTTCAAAAGACAATAAAAATCTCATCAAGATACCCAAGAGGCCAACAAAAAGTGGGACAACAACAGCCACAAAAAATGGTTTGGATAGCACAGCATACACAGTCCCTCGTTACCTGGCCCCTATTCACCCGGCCTGCATCTCTTCCCACTCTCTAATATGTATCCCAGGATCCAGACACACTAAATGATTTGCAGTTTTCCTCATCTTTGTACCTTTGCAAAAGTTGCTTTTCTGACCACAATGTCCTTAGCCCTCTTCTTCCTCTTACCTCCTATTAGTTTTTCTGTACTCTGTTTAAATTTTACCTATGAGAAGATTTTCCTACACTATTCTACAAGGTCAGGTTAGGTACTCTTTCATAATTTCTTCTGTATTTGTGGGTCTCCTCTATCACACTATAAGCTCTCATAGTCTTAACTCTTAATATTTTTAAAAAACGTTTACTTATTTTGAGAGAGAAAGAGAGAGTGTGTGCATGGGTGCACACATGTGCATGTGAGTGGGGGAAGAGGCAGAGATAGAGGGAGAGAGAGAGAATTCCAAGTAGGCTCCATGCTCTCAGCACAGAGCCCAATGCAGGGCTTGATCTCATGACAGCGAGATCCCGAACTGAGCTGAAATCAAGAGTTGGACACTTAACCCACGGAGCCACTCAGGTGACCCTTATCCTTAACAGCTAGGTTAGGGTCTGGCACATGCTAACACTAAATTTATTAAAAAGTGTTTACTGATGAATTAATATCTCAATTACAGTACCCCTTGTATTGTATTATAACTCATTTGTGTCCTTTTTTCAATAGATGAAAAAAGATGAGAAAAGATGACCTTCTCACTCATTCATCTTTGCATTCCTCAGGCAACACGATCCAAGTATAAAATAGATGGTCTATAATAGAAAAGATGGATGGATGTTACACATAGTAGATTTATGTCCCTTAACAAATTTAGTGGAAAACGCTTAAGCCTTGGTTGTTGTACTTTTTTGCTCTTTTAGGATAGTGACATTTTGATGGCTTTCTGAAAGTCCCAAAATGTGTTTTTTAAAAATGACAATATATGCTGCAAGTGTGATTTAAATATATAGAACTATATTAATAGTTTATCTAATTCATAAAGATTTCATTCTACAGAGAAATACAATTTGTAAAGTAGTAATATACTCCAGTTGATTAAAACTCACACATAGCTGGGGCGCCTGGGTGACGCAGTCGGTTAAGCGTCCGACTTCAGCCAGGTCACGATCTCGCGGTCCGTGAGTTCGAGCCCCGCGTCAGGCTCTGGGCTGATGGCTCAGAGCCTGGAGCCTGTTTCCGATTCTGTGTCTCCCTCTCTCTCTGCCCCTCCCCCGTTCATGCTCTGTCTCTCTCTGTCCCAAAAAATAAAATAAAAACGTGGAAAAAAAAAAAAAACTCACACATAGCTAAAGTAATTTAACAATTGAACATCTTTTCCCAGCAGACACTAATTCAAAACAATCTATCTTTGTTTGTAGGATATGACTGAATCCTCAGCAGCAAATAGAATTCACTGGTCCATTATATGAACACAAAGGCTGTTAGAATGTGCATGCCTGGTGAGTATTAAGCACTGACATTCAGGAGTCAGGTGGAACAGTGTTTTATAAACTCAATCCGTCTTTATTTCAAAGCAATAACAAATCCTTTCACAGAAATAATCTTCATGCTCATCATATCATGGAGTTCATATAATCCAAATCTGAATGGCCACATTTGAATGATCAAATATATTTTTATGTAAGATAATAACAAAATGTTAATTTTGAAATCATTACAAGTGACAGTTGATTTAGGAAGACTTATGGGGCATAATCATATTATATACCCATTTACAGATGAATAAACCAGGATACAGAAATGCTAAGTGACTTGTTCAAGATCACATCAGTACAAAGTGGTAAATCCAACCTTACCAAAGTATTCTGGCTTTAAATCTAGGATTCTTCCCATTGTACCATGCTGTCTGCATCTTTTTAAGATATGCATTGGAGGTCCAATGTAATATGAATTGAAGAAATTATAGAAGAGATGCAGACTCCCCACTCCCACTTCATGTCTGTTGATTTCAAGTCCAGTGACCAACTAACTTAATGATGTTAGGTGGCAGAGTCAATGGGTAGTCCCTGAATTTGGGCTTCACAGACATTTCCTCCTGACTTCATGGACTCCTTTCCTCGTTGGTTGGCAATGACACTACTCCCAGATACTTGGAAGTGAGTGATAAGGTTTTAAAGGAAGTGAACTGTTCTTGAAAAAAATTGTTCTTCTTGACTTTTTAGACTGGCTAAATTATAGCCATCTTTCCTATGACATACACTAATTTACTTGTACTTACTGTGCCCAATCATTGCACTAAGTGTTTTACACACTTTATCTCATTTTACTTTATCTCCATAAAAATTCGGTGAAACATATACCATTCCTACCATCTTATTTTACAGACAAGGAAACTACAATTTAAGAGAGGTTAAGTAATTTGCTTGAGATTGGGAGGTAGCAAAAGTTAAATGAAGAATTTAATCAACAGACTAAGATTCCAGATCTCAGGCTATTAGTCTCTTGCCTTTGAACACGAAAATTGTTGAGGCTGTTCTGTGATGACCTCCCATCCCCATGCCTCCATCCAGCAGTTAAGATATCCACAAAGGTTTTACATGGGTTCAGACTAATGTTGCAAAACAAATAGCAGAAGTAAAATGTGCATTTTAGGCTAAAAAAAGACATCTCTAAGATTTAATGTGATAATAGAATATCATTCAGCAATAAAAAGAATCAACTACTTATACATGCAAAAACACACATGAATTTCTTCATTTTCTTTCCAAGTTTTTATTTAAATTCTAGCTAACATACATGGTAAAATTGGTTTCAGGTATAGAATTTAGTGATTCATCACCTACATATAATACCCAGTGCTCATCCCAACAAGTGCCCCCCTTAATACCCATCACCCATTTAGTCCATCCCTCATACACTTCCCTCCACCAACCCTCAGTTTGTTCTCCATGGTTAAGAGTCTCTTTGGTTTGCTTCCCTCTCCCTTTTTCCCCGTTCCATATGTTCATCTGTTTTGTTTTTAAAATTCCACATATGAGTGAAATCATATGGTATTTGTCTTTCTCTGACTGACTTATTTTGCTTAGCATAATACCTTCTAGCTCCATTCATGTCATTGCAAATGGCAAGATTTCATTCTCTTTGATGGCTGAGTAATATTCCATTGTATATATATACCACATCTTCTTTATCCATTTATCAGCTTATGGACATCTGGGCTCTTTCCATAGTTTGGCTATTGTTGATAATGCTGCTATAAACATCAGGGTGATGTACCCCTCCAAATCTGTATTTTTGTATCCTTTGGGTAAATACAAATGAATCTAAAAAGCATTGTGCTGAGTGAAAAAAAAAAAAACATATTCAGGAGACCTTATAGTATATGATTTTACTTATATGACATTCTGGAGAAGATAAAAATACAAGGACAAAAAAATACATTGGTGGTTACTAGGGCCTAGGGATGGAGAGAGGGGTTAACTACAAAAAAGAACAAGGGAACTTTTGGAGGTGATGAAAATATTTTATATATAATTTTCAAAATTCTTATGATGTGCACCTAAAAGGGTAAGTTTATTGTGAATCTGCTTTCTAAAAAGTAAAAATGAATAAATGTGGTCTCTAAGACACTGTTTTCCAAATCTCCATTAGTGAGATACAACCCATCAGTGAGTTATGAACCCAATTTAACAGGTTGTGATTGGCATTTTAAAAGGTGCAATAGAACAAAATAGGAATATCAGAGTCTGTAAGCAGTAAAAGGAATATTGTTAAGGAAGCATTTACTTCTGTTCCCCATATATGTATGTGATATAATTATTATTATTATTTATTTTATTTTTACAGTCTTGACGTCTTTTATTTTTTTTACACTTATCATGCCATGAATTTGTAGGGAATGGGTTCCAACAGCTCAGGCTCCTTTCCATTGGTTCTCACAAAGTGTGCCTCTCTGGGTGGGGCAGGCTGGCGCTTCAGTTGAACCCAAGTACCTTTCTCCTTGGCTTCCTTCTTTTTCTGATCATTTTCCTTCACATGCTTCAGGAGCTGTCTCAGCTCTTTGAATGCTTAATGTGCTCAATACGTACATTAATTCTCTTAGCAAGAATCTTGCCCTTAACTTGTTTGTTTACCACAATGCCAACAGCATGCTGGGTAACATTGTAGACTCTTCTAGTTTTGCCATGGTAACATTTGTGGGGCATTCCTTTTTGAACAGTGCCCATTCCCTTGATGTCCACAATATCACCTTTCTTGTAGATTCACATGTATGTTGCCAAAGGAACAACTCCATGTTTTCTAAAAGGCCTAGAGAACATATAGCGAGTAGCTCTCCTCTTTCCCTTTGTGTTGGTCATTTTGGCGAATTACTGGAAGGTGGCGGTTCCCCTGTATGTGATATAATTAAATATCAGGAAAAAGATATCATGGTCAGAGTGTTCTCTTTTTAAGTTTATTTATTTTGAGAAAGAGAGGATGGCAGCAGCAGAGAAAGAGGGTGAAAGAAAGAATCCCAAAAAGGCTCCACACTGTCAGCTCAGAGCCCTAGTGGGGCTTGACCTCATGAAACACGAGATCATGACCTGAGCCAAAATTAAGAGTTAGACGTGGACACTTAACCCACTGAGCCACCCAGGTACCCCCACGGTCAGAGTATTTTTAACAGAGGGAATTTAACACAGGAAACTTGTTTCACAAATGATGAATAGGTAGAGAAGCCAAATAAGGGAAGATAAGACAACCCAGAGATCAGCAATGGCAGAAACCACATACCTTTCGACTGGAAGGATAAAGGGAAGTAGCAGTATTGCTGGGTCCCAGAGTTGGGGTCATCCTGGAGAAGCTTAAATCGCAGGGGGACAGTTTTGGCTAGAGCTGGAGCCACAGAGAAGAGCTAGTCGCTGTCAAAGATGCACTGCAGGCAGAGAAAGATGGGGAGAATCATCCTGGCTTTCCCATTCCTCCCACCCTCCAGTGTCAGGGCAGGACTGCACATGAGTGGCACCCACCCAGAAGTCAGTTAACGTAACTTGGGAGCCGTGGAAATACAGCCTCTTGGGATCAGCATCCTTAAAACTTGGCAGAGGAAGAGCAAGGAATGGATTTGAGAGCAGACAGTCCCAGGGTTGGCATAGCTGTGAAGTAAAACACATTTCTGATCGAAGGTCAAATTCCAAAAGGTTTAAAAGCCATTACTTTAGGGGACAAAGCTATTCTCTATGTTTTTCTCTCTATATACAGGAAGAATAAAGTTACACTTTCGACCATTAGAGGATGCCAAATTTTGCCCTTTAGGATGTGTTTGAAAAGGCAGTTTGAATTAAAGAAGTTGGATTGTAAGACTAACCCACTTGTCTCCTTACTATCGGAGGAGTCATACCAAGATCTCTTAGCAAAGGTAAAACTCTTAGCAAACGTAGATGAAATTTAGGCTAGGAACAACAGAGCAGGAAGAAAGTACACAAGAGGCAAATGTGTAAGCAAAGTAATAGTGTGGAAGGAAAATAATAGCAGTTAAAAATCAATATGCTGAGTATCAAATGGCCTCTGTCAGCAGCTGTTTGTGTGACAGCTCTATAAAACTTCCTGGATCCACAAGGAGTAGCAGCCATAATTCATCAACACAACCTTATTCCTGACTCTGAAGACTATTTAGTTTTTCCCGTTCCAAAGTTTTGACCTTGAATTATTTGGGATTTCTGACCTCAAGAAATGACTCCTGAGGCTCCCTCATTGAGTCAAAACTAATGCTTGATTCCTTGTGTTTAAAAACACTCAGAGCCACTCTCCCCTCCAGCCATCCAAAATGTCGAATGGAAAGGAGGCTAAGGGGAAGTGGGTGGCCCCAGTCCCTGCTGTCATGAAGAAGCAGGAGGCTGAGAAGGTGGTCAATCCATTGTTGGCGAAAAGGGCCAAGAATTTTGGCATCAGATAGGACATTGAGGCCAAAAGGGATCTCACCTGCTTTGTCAAATGCCGCCCCCCCCCCCCCCACCTACATCCTGCTGCAGCAGCAAAGGGCTGTTCCCTATAAATGTCTGTAAGTTCCTCCTGCAATTAAGCAGGTCACCCAGCTTTGCACTGCCAAACAATTATTCAGCTGCTTACACTGGCCCACAAATACAGACCTCTGGTCAAAGCAAGAGAAGTAGAGACTGTTGGCTCAGGCTGAGAAGAAAGCTGCTGGCAAAAGGGGTGTCCCCACTAAGAGGCCTCCTGTCCTTCGAGCTGGGGTTTATATGCCACCACCTTGGTAGAAAACAAGAAGGCTCACCTGGTAGTGATTGCACATGATGTGGATCGCATTGAGCTGGTTGTCTTCCTGCATGCCCTGTGTTGTTAGATGGTGGTTACCTACTGAATTATCAGGCGGAAGGCCAGCCTGGAGTGTGTGGTCCACATGAAGACCAGGAAGACCTGCACCACTGTCACCTTCACACACATTAACTCAGAAGACAAAGGAACTCTGGCTAAGCTGGTGGAAGCTATCAGGACCAAT